GTCCACATGACCGAGGAAGGAGAGGATGAGGAGCGGCGAGCCGCTGGAGAAGATGCCAATCGCAAATGAGATGAGCGGCGAGAGGAGGAGCGTGGCCCAGAAGAGGAAGTTCAGGAGGGTCCATGGCCGACGGGGCGGGACAAACTGGGGGCCCGGAAAGGCGCCCTCCTGGATGTACCGTTCCTGAAGAGCATCCTGCCAATGAGAACAAAGGATTACAACTCTCATCCTCCCAACATTCATCACATCAATTCATCATGGTTGAGGCTGAAGGAGCACTCTACCCAAAATCTAATGAGCCACATGAGACCTCCTAATAGCCCCTCCCTGGTGTGTGAGCCCAGCAGACTCGGCATCGGGACATACACGGGACATACACGGGACACTCCGCGGGGACAATCTGCGGTTCCGTTATCTGGTTGCAGAGGAACTGAAATGACTTCTATGGAATAACTGGACAGGAAGTGACAACGGGGATGAAAGTTTCCTCATTGCTTCGGAGAATTTCCTGACTGAACCCGGGGAGGAGACTGAAGGCATGACCAGGCTCCACCTCCTCCCCGGACCCCAGATCCTCGTCTGCAAAAATCACCCGTGGACATCCCAAGGAACTCTCCTCACCTGACCCCCAGGACAAGTAGGCTACCCAAACACCTCCCTGTCCAAGTCCTAGTTCTCAATAACAAGAAAACAAATTCCTCCCCAAGGACCCATCCAGACCTACAAACCACCCAAGGACCCATCCAGACCTACAAACCACCCAAGGACCCATCCAGACCTACAAACCACCCAAGGACCCATCCAGACCTACAAACCACCCAAGGACCCATCCAGACCTACAAACCACCCAGGGACCCATCCAGACCTACAAACCACCCAGGGACCCATCCAGACCCACAAACTACCCAGGGACCCATCCAGACCCACAAACCACCCAGGGACTCATCCAGACCCACAAACTACCCAAGGATCCATCTGTGACGGGCGGCACCGTCACTGTGCTAGTTGGAGGGGGCGGCACCGTCACTGTGCTAGTTGGAGGGGGCGGCACCGTCACTGTGCTAGTTGGAGGGGGCGGCACCGTCACTGTGCTAGTTGGAGGGGAGTGCACCGTCACTGTGCTAGTTGGAGGGGGCGGCACCGTCACTGTGCTAGTTGGAGGGGGCGGCACCGTCACTGTGCTAGTTGGAGGGGGCGGCACCGTCACTGTGCTAGTTGGAGGGGGCGGCACCGTCACTGTGCTAGTTGGAGGGGCTGCAGACCGGCCTCTTACCCCCCGATTATGGCCCAGCAAGAGAACAGGAGATTTTGGGGCTAAATGTACATTTTATATGCAGACAGTGACTGTTGCCCTCTGGGAAATATATGAATGGTGGAGGACAGGGATTGGGTCACATGGTTTGTCTATTCAAAATGGAGACTTAATTAAGTGAAGTCAGTTGCATAGCTCCGCCCCCCCTCACCCTATTGTACTGTGTGACTGTGTATGTAAATGTCTGATTCCCTGAGTAAGCTGTTATCTGTGTTTGTCATGAGGGGGAAGGGAGGGGAGGGGTTGTAGCCCTCCCAGTGTCTCTAAAGTGAATGTCCTGTGTTTAATAAAGTTGTTGCTCTTTCTATGTTGAACCTTCAACATGAGTTTTGCCTCGTGATTGGGGGTTACTGCCAATCTGCTGGCTGAGAGAGGGGTTTGGCGGGCAGGAGACGCTCTTTGGCGGAGGTACCCAGTCGGGGTACCAGGCGGTCCGTCACACCATCCAGACCTCCAAACTACCCAAGGACCCATCCAGACCTCCAAACTACCCAAGGACCCATCCAGACCTACAAACCACCCAAGGACCCATCCAGACCTACAAACCACCCAAGGACCCATCCAGACCTACAAACCACCCAAGGACCCATCCAGACCTACACAACACCCAAGGACCCATCCAGACCTCCAAACTACCCAAGGACCCATCCAGACCTACAAACCACCCAAGGACCCATCCAGACCTACAAACCACCCAAGGACCCATCCAGACCTACAAACCACCCAAGGTCCCAGTCCCCTCCTCCCAGCTTACCTTCTCCTGGTAGAGCTTGTGAAGCCAGTTTGCCGCTTCCTTCTCATCTTCAGGTATTTCTTCCAGAGGGAAACGTCTGAGGACAGAAGACAGGAGGTCAATGGAGGCCAGAGAGAATGGAGGTCAGCGGAGGACAGCCCCCCAAAGTGAGGGAGTAAAAGAAGAGCACAGACCTCACACACATGTCCGCCTCGTATTTCTTCCCGTACAGTATTCCCAGCAAGGACGGATTCTTGTTTTCACGGAAGTTTAATGTCACATCGTACACCGCCGAGACTGCAAGAGAAAGATGAGTGAAGGAGACCTCCGTCCAAAACACGGGAGACCTCCGTCCAAAACACGGGAGACCTCCGTCCAAAACACGGGAGACCTCCGTCCAAAACACGGGAGACCTCCCCCAACACTAAAGGCGGAGTCAGGTGTTGCCGGGGGTTACCTGTCCCTCGGAGGCACTGCACCGCCGTGGTAAATCCTCGGGTCCGGGGGAGGAGATGATATTTCAGATGAGCCAGACCTTTCTTCTCTGCCACCTCCATGCTGATCTTGTGCTTGGTCTCGGTGAAGCGCGTCCCCTCGCAGTACAGCAAGAACTGCAGACAGAGCAGATCAATGTCACATGACCCCTCACAGTCCTCCGAGGAACCTCCTCCCCCCGATATAGTGCATGGACCCCTCACAGTCCTCCGAGGAACCTCCTCCCCCCGATATAGTGCATGGACCCCTCACAGTCCTCCGAGGAACCTCCCCCCCCCGATATAGTGCATGGACCCCTCACAGTCCTCCGAGGAACCTCCTCCCCCCGATATAGTGCATGGACCCCTCACAGTCCTCCGAGGAACCTCC